AGGAAGAAGTGGGATAATCAGGATTGGGTAGACCGCATTGTTTGAACGAAAATTACTGAAAACCAGCCAATCAACCGCTGATACCCACGTGTCGGTCGTCGTTTCACTACTGATGCACGATTCTTGCTTACTGGAGCCTTGGTGGCTTTTAGTCTGTACTTCCCATCCAGTAGGTTGACTGGTCATATCTCCACTAAGCTCCTAACGTTCGGTCTTTTGGATTAAATATTACTTCTGTTGTCCAGTGAGAACCACTCAAAATTTTAGTAAAAACGTTTAGATTCTTCCGTCTGATGTTTTGAGTTTTCACCCCTGAGGCAGTTCATGATGTGCAGTACGACGACTTCGGTAGAAAGATTTCAGTTAGTACAAACCTAAGAAATTCGGAAATGTTAAGATATTTAAATAGCAGGCAACCTTATTCTCAAGTCTGGATTTCTGTAGAGAGAGCTTCATGACGCCTCGTGTCGTCATCAGAATTATTGGTAGACTGAATGGAAAAACTGGCTGAACGGATCATTTGGTGTATCAAGTGCTGGATGCAGTGTTGCTCAAGAATTTTCAGTCTCTGCGTTTCCCCAAAACTGGTGTTTATTGATCACCTTACTGGCGGGGGGAAAAGCTGGGAACGCTCTTGACGGATGTTTTCCCCAAAACTGGTGTTTATTGATCACCTTACTGGCAGGCGCAAAAGCTGTGAACGCTCTATGACGGATGTTTATGCATCTGCAAATCTGTTATTTATGGCACCATACTTTCAATTTACTGAAGCAACTGTAGAGACTGTCTTACTCTTATCCTTAATGCAGTCGTAGTATAACAAGCGCTACATTGTTCGCAGTGAAGTGGCACGTAGGCCGGTAGCTGATGATCGGAATCAACAGAACAGCAGATAAACCTTATTAGGTGAAGGAAACATGCTTAGCCTGTCCAGCTACTGTCCATCATCCACTGTTTCTTCGAGCTGTTGCTTATGAAAGGCCCGTAGGTAAAGGTACTGATAAGGCCACCCAAAAGGATAACGGCTTGTGTCGGAATGAATGCCATGGACACCTTTCTTGCTGGGGCCCACAAGACTGTCGTTCGCATACTATAAAGAAAACCTACGGTATATCTAGCGTAATCCGTACTACTGGCGAGTCGGCCGTTTCTTCCAAACCTAACTCGCTAGCTACTCTTTGTTTGTCGTTCTGTACAGAATTCTGCATGCTGTTTGGTCAACCTCACACGGACATGCGTTGTTGTTCCAAGGATTGGATACATTAATCTTAGTAGTTTTCTGGAGACATGGGCCAGCTCTGAAACCTTCCCCATTCCCTCCACTCTTTACCAAGAATTCTTCACTGATGCTCAGCAGTTGCCCATCATCGTCTACTGCTGATGTATCGACGTCAATGACGACGATGAAGGGTGCTAATTTCATTTGATTCTAACCGCACAATAACAGTTTCTTCGCGTGACAGAAGAACGATTATTGAAAATAAATTTCCTCCCACCACCATATGTCCCCAGTGTTTGACTCAGGTTCACGATGAATACCGGAAAGAACTTGATTTCCGAGCAGTGTCTACTGCTAGTTGAACGTGGTTTCCTAATGTAGCTGAACCCTCAGACCGGTCGCCAAAACCTGTGAACCTGTGACATCATAGTAACGGCCAACCCACCAAAGCTGAGTGACGGTATATTCCTAAGATGCAGCCGCTTCGGCGCATCCAAAGACTATATGGAAGCCCCAAATTATGTAGTGACTTTCTTGATATAACACATAAATTATATTCGGTGAAAACTGTTTAACGGCTCACTACCTGGTTCGCCATTTTCGGGGCTCATTAGTAAGGTTGTGTCTCTGAGGTCGTCGCCTCTCTTTATTAAACGGAAATAGTCATCCTAAAGACGAAATGTGATTACCCCTTGTTTTTTTCAGGGTTACACATGTCCTCTATTTACAATTACCGTCAGGAGATCAAACGGCCTGGTGGATTCGATCTCATCAGCTAAGTAGGGGAGAACTTTTGTGCCAAACCTTTTTTATCATTTACTGGCAACTCAAATAAACGCTGCCCCTTCCAAAACGGATATTATTCATGATTATCAGCACTTTCTGTAGAAGGGTGTGTCTGAATCAATGCTGATAGAACCGTGTGCATTTTGGTAACCATGAGTACGTATCATTCTGCGTAGGGGTAGTCCCAGTAGGGTCGCCGTACCACAACGGTCAATCGTGAATTAGCACTAAGCCAGGTTGTTGCGGTGTCTTGCTAAATGGCAACATTCTGTAATGTATAGAACCTCCATAGGGTTGACATCCGAAACACCGTCTGATAGTTCTCACTTCTCACCAAAGGAGCATTTTTGAACATTCGGTACAACTCCAAACCATGCTAATCATGAAATCTCTCACCATTTACAGGCATTGGTACCATGTAGCAGCCGTCAGTCATATTTCTTACACTTGATTGTGGATTACGGCTTCCGCATATCGATAACTAAGGCGTATCTTTCGGCGAAAGCATGGAATTGGGCCGCATCAGCTACCTTCGTGTGAGTACCAAGACAGTTGACCGAAAAAGGCCTATACTCTGCCAATATGCCTTTCCTAACTAAGTTGGCCGTGCTAGCGGCCTCACCATCCTTGACGTACTAGACCGACTATCAAAGCCTCGACCCTATCAAACCGTTTCAAATTCGCTTCTCTTCTGTGTGGATTTTGAGTGGATAACTCTAATAGAACGGCTACATCATCTGTTCAGAACAACCCGTAATGTACTGCCCGCGTGTATGCTGGAGCCACAAATTGGAGGCCTTTAAATTGTTGCATCGTGTAACCTGAACCTGAATCCAGACACGAGCATTCACTAAATGATATGCATGCCGAATACAGTGATGCAGAAGGCAAGTCAAAACACGAAATCACCAGGCAATCTTGCCTCAAGAAAGAGAGAAACTCATAGAAGCATTCAAGCCCAAATTCAGGAATTATTGCGCTCATCAGTGAATCATTTAATGCATCCTCAAAAGTCAAAGTTGACAAACAACCACAACACTTATGCAACCGTTCCACGCGTTCCGTACAATTGCCGAAAATTGCAATTGTTCACTTCTTCAGTTCCAGTAGCCGTATCTCAAATATAGTTCTTCTCGTGTTTGGAAACCCACCTCCCAGCAACACAGATGTGAGTCCTAGTTTCACATGGCTAAACGGACTACCCGTCCCCAGGATTTCGGCTCGACTCTCACGACGTTTCCGAATCGATACCTTGGTGGAATAAAGCAAACAGCATTGTCTTGGTCTCTGCAGAAACTGGGAATGCGGCAAACAAAAAGAGCGAGCGTTCGATGGGACGGTTATGTTGACCAAATTATGAACCAATGTCAAGTTAATCTACTTCAAGTATACCTATCTTTTGGCCTTATACCTGTTATCGATATTTTTTCTCAGTGTCTTCAGGCACTTGCACTTGTGGGTCACACGAAGAACTCAGATTACCCCTAAAAAGTATTTGTTCGTGTGAGTGAGTGGTTTCCAAAACTGAAGAGAGCCTTGAACCACCGAATACGTACGGCCAGCAAGAAGCTTTCAATACCTGAACATAATACGAGCAACAGGAGAGCAGTTTTTCATCCTGTTATACATATCTTCACCAGAAGCTTCGTAACCCAGTCACGCGGCCATCTCCATTCGCAGCGACCACAGTACTGTTTGCCCCTCCTACTTAATCCACACCACCATCTGGGTTCTTCGTTTCCAGCCACTTAAGTCGCCACAGATTTTCCCCTCCATTACAACCATTTACCCTCTGAGTCACTAAGTAATGCTTGGCCATTCACTTCCAATTTTTGCCATCTTCATCTCAGTGGCCAGCATCGGATAGCAGTCAAGCTTCCATGGAGCTGATCTTTAACTGGCACAGATTCGCTGAGCAATCATGGACCGGCAAGTTTACCGTTGAAGCCCTGGTAATGGTGAGTTCATTACTGGTTGTATCTCGGTCCATAGTTCTATTATCTCTCGCCTGAGCGTCCTAAGCACTCGGGATTCCGCTGCTCAATCTTCGAACTGTCTGGCCTCATTGATGTATTCGACTTCTTACAGTGCCACATCTGACCTCCCAATACATGTGAATTCTCGGAAGCACACAACTTCATGACACATTACATTCCTCAAAAAATTGTATGTGAGCAAGCATCTTGTTTATCCACGACCAACCGACAATTTTACCACTTTAAATCCCGCTTGTTTCTGTTAGCTATTTAGTGTGTACTGTTTGCAGACTATATACATAGGGTTCTTTAATGCGTCCAGATGCATGTTAATCAAACTGCCTACTAGAAACTACATCTGAATCTCTCGATTGCCACTGTAAATACCAAGATAACACGATTGAAAAGAATGGATTTTCTAATCCACACACTTCTGGTGTAGGTTCTGCACTGATATGATATTGTTGCGCTGTACGATGGTAAGTTAAAATTCATTATGAAGCAAGTTCAACTTCCAGTATTCCTGTACTAAGGCGTGCCTATCATTGTAACCCTGCGTGATGCAAAATCGGAGTAAGTTGCTACATAATTATCTCACTTCCGTTTTCGTACAGCCTTTTTACTGCTCTGCCCCGAAACATCGCGCGTAAAAGCCAGTCAGACTGTGATGAGCAGGATATAATTTCGATCAATCTGGCCACAAATTTCTGGCAGTAGAACAGCGCACAACAGTTTTCAACCACATATTTAGTCCAATGTAAATTATTGCCTGAATTAATCGACAACTGCCCACAGCCAATGAAACCTCCTTGGAAAGAAACTTGACTATTTACAGTTACCAGCAGTAGTTCTGAATTGACCATGCATCTTGGCCTATCTTCCGTCTTGTTCTGAAAACACCCCATATGTCACTCATTAGGAATACAGAACTTTTCATTCGCCAACTTGTGGTCCTGTTTGAAATTGTCGACAGCGGCAAAGATCAATAAATCATCTGCTCTCATTCACCGCTAACTGGCATGCCTGAGGAGCGGAATTTGTTCGGCAAACAGCTCACAATCAGTTCAATGGGCGATTCGGCTAAACATGACAATGAAATGGAACTTCCTGGAAATAGTGTAGAGTTTTTTATCGGAGAATCCGAACACAGACGAGAAATGCCAGCCAGATTACAGGAAAGACTGACCAATAGACCTGTTTCAACCAAAAGCCCTGAAGAAAAGAGACGAGAACAAGAGCAGCGAAAAAAGGTATGTGCTTTGTTTTTTTTCTACCGCAGTACGTCAGTCTCATTCACCGCTAACTGGCATGCCTGAGGAGCGGAATTTGTTCGGCAAACAGCTCACAATCAGTTCAATGGGCGATTCGGCTAAACATGACAATGAAATGGAACTTCCTGGAAATAGTGTAGAGTTTTTTATCGGAGAATCCGAACACAGACGAGAAATGCCAGCCAGATTACAGGAAAGACTGACCAATAGACCTGTTTCAACCAAAAGCCCTGAAGAAAAGAGACGAGAACAAGAGCAGCGAAAAAAGGTATGTGCTTTTGTTTTTTTCTACCGCAAGTACGTCAGGAATTAGATGATCAGAAACAGCAGAAACTTCGGGAACATCATGAAAAGGTTGAGAGACTATCGTCTCAGAAGAGGGAAAAGAAAAGGCTCCAAGATGAACGACTGGCTAGAGATCAGCTGAACGACTACGAATCTAACCTAAAAGACCCCACTGTAACCCAACAGCGAGAGAACGTTGACCAACCAAGAACGCAGGGGTAATGGTTTCATCAGTGAGAAATGGGTTCTTCAAAAATTACCCACTCCATTAATTTCTTCGTGTACTCTTTCTTCGCCAGTGTTTTTTTGCATATTTCTCACATTTAAGTTGATTATAATTTGTTTTCATAGTTTCGGCACTCAGTAAATTTCACTGCCAAGTGGGTCGACTAGTGCCACGTTTGGATGGCTCTTGAAGCAAGCGCCGTGATAACAGCCTACAAGAAAACAGCAAGGGAGAAACGACTGTTCATGTCCACATGTATGATCACCAACCAGCCGAACGGACGTTGAGTGGAATTTAGATGACCTGAATGCTCATGCACTTCGGTATATGGTTTGTAGGTGATAAATGACCGACTACATGATCGGTTGACTGATTGTGAGCCTCATTACATCCCGAATTTGGACAAGCTATTTGAGGGTGTCACATTGCAGTTAGCACAGTGTGTCGAGCCATGAGGGAGCGTTCAGTAGTGAACCTGTAATATCCCAAACTTGCTTCCTTTGGAAGTATGCGAATATCTTTCCTTCTTCAAGCGTTACAGAGCTGCTGTTGTCACCTGCTCTGCTTAGGGGCGCTCTCTGAGTAGAGGGGACCGTTCCAGCCAACAGAGATGAGACATTAGTTGTGCCGGTTTTCAAAAAGGGTGCTTGCAATTTGGCTAACATGGAGGAATCAGCTTCATCCCCATCGTAATCAGATTCTTGGCGCTGATTCTAAATACCACTTGTGGTCCGCCGCTTGATTTCTACTGGGGATCTCCTGCTCCCATGTTTGCTTATACTTCCAGTTTATCGGGTTGTTGATTGTTACTAACCTAGAGCGTTTTTCCTGGCCCCTGAATCTTTTGTCTCCCTGCTGTTTCGTTGACATCACTGGCAACTGCCGCCTCCCTGGTTGAAGACCCCGGGACTCAAATCACCAATGGTTATTGACATTGGCGGAAATGGCTTAATCGCGCAATCAGTGACGCTTTTGCATCAAAGCTATCGCCTTCAATGCGTAGCTATCCAATTTCGAACAAACTGAGCATGCCTTCGCCTCCGAGGCTTGGTTTTGTATTCCACTTTCCCGTTTTCCGGTGATCAAAACTGTAGCAGTTGGAAACAGTGAGCATATGGCACATGGTTTATAGCTGATAAATTGAATTGAACTGAGCAGAACTTGAGTCTCTTTGTTGTATCTTTTCTAAGAGGTCGGCTTCACGCTTGGTGAATGATCTCGTTGTCCATGCTCTAGATTCTCACGCATATGAGGGATGAGAAATGTTCCTGGTAGAGGCCACCGCTTTTTCTTTATACATTCAAGTCGAGATCGACAATGGAATCCGGCAAGGTCTTCCTTCATTTGCACCTCACACAGTAGAAATTCACCAATTTGATAGGCTTCAATGCATTTCCGGTTTTCGATCGTAAAAATAAGTATTTGTTGTGCCTAACTGATGGCCTCCAGCGGAAGATTTCCGGAGCATTTCGCGTCACACCCACGTGGATCGTGGACAAAACGTGTCCCGTTTTAATTCATGGAACATTTAACAGGTAAATGTTGGAATGTCACTGAAAAATTCTTTGAAAGCGCTGGCCCACGAACCTGTGTGACCTCTCTACTTGTACCAGACAGGCTTCAAAAGGTGCCACCCCTCTTAACGTTCTTTACCTAATTAGTCATAATTGCTGTCATCATCATCATTGTCAGCTGTAATAAACGCGTACTCGTCGTACAGTGGTTGTAGCTGCTGTAAGCCATTCAAATATTTTTTTCTTGAACTCAGGATTAAGGAGGCTCATTGAGTGAATATCAACCATAAACACTGTCAAAAGCTCTGCTTAAACTGACAGGTGCCATCATATTTCCAGAATCAATCAGTTGTCCATATTCCTCTGGTAAATAGCTGGTTCATGACGCAAGGTCGTCTTTACAGAAATCCGTGTTTTTAACTCCATCGTAAGTTGACCTCAAAATTCTTCTTCTGGCGCCGGGCAAATGCGTTCCTGCATCACTTTGCTCAAGACAGACATTAGATCCGCCGGTTAATAGTTGGTCGGATCCTCTTTAGATCGTCTCTTATAAATCGGCTTTACTACCTGTAATTGGTAACTTTCTTTTTCCAATTCTTTCCAATTCAAACGAGGGTGACGAAAATACAAAAAAAAACTGTGTAACTCTTAGGCACTTTTGAAATCAAGATGGAGAGATTAGCCTGTAATCAATGATGAACAATGATCTATCAGAATCCTGACCTTTCTTATTTTTGCTTACATTCAGCAATTCATTCAGTATGCCATCATCGCCATCATCATTATCAGCGTCGTCACCACCAGGGACAGCAACGTCAGCGTTGACGGTGATGCTTCACTTCAGTCTGTCAGTTAACATGGGGTGTGCTGATTCTGGGTACCAGTTTTACTCGTCAGTCGCCGAGGGCGTGGACCGGTGTTGACTACTTGTTGAAGACGATAGCGCGCAGTAATTAGGTGTGGTTGCATCCCAACGAGGAACAGATTTGTTTACTGAAGCGATAAAGGGAATATATTTGGTAGCTAAATTTTGTTTGGTAAACGTGCACACGCACGAGAAAAGCAACATCGCCGGTTGACCCTACAAAGGGAATTCTCCTTCAGGCGATTCCATTTTGTCACGAAGTAAACTGCGTAGTTCGTAGTCCGTCCTCTACTCTTCTAATACATTGTTTGCTTGCCCCGAGAAGGTCCAAAATTTAAAATGAATACTAAGCTCTGACCCACGTCAAAGTGCGAAAGACAGCTGGCACAAGTCTTCTCTTTATTATATCTTTAAGTGTGGTTAAATCATAGCCTAAAGTGATCACTATAGCTCTTCTGGCCAAAAGAGCAATATCATGGTGGTTAGGGTGGTTAAACTGACATCCTACATGATTGCTTTGCAAATCTACAAACGCCATTCACTGCAAATAATGTCAGAGAAGTGAATTTCATTTACATTTCAGTCCGAGGTCCATAAAAAGCCATTTATTCTACGTACAGTATAGGAAGAGGGTAATGTGCTGTTGGATCCATCACTTTCCTGCACTCCAGCTGGAAGCGTTTGTGGAGGAGTCAAGTTTCTTTGAGAGAAAAATAGCTCAAATAAGCAAGAGCAGGTGACCGCGTAGGATTTTCGCTAATTACCAACAGTCTGAATGCGCGGGAAGCCACAAGAAAAGGCAAATGATCGGAACCATAAAGTAATCAAATGCATTAAAACCAAACCTAAATTTCTGGTCGAAACAAACTTGTGTACATTTTTGTTATAAAAAGCATTTCCGTTGTTCACGTTGAGTATGCGTGCATTTGTTGGTATATTCAGTAAGCACTTGATAGTCGGAGGACTGGCTAAAGTGACTTTTCAAAGTGTGACGAAATGACTTGCTTTTGCAGCACTTGTCTGGCTCTGAAAGCCTTCTTCGATCGACTGGGACAATATTCAGTGTCTCATTGGGTCTGAACTACTCCTGCAAGTCAAGAAAACCATTCTAGTACTAGAAACCGGAAGTGTCATTGCTTTCGACTTTTGGTGTCTCACCTCTTCCTCAGAAAATATACTAAAAGTGTGCACATTACAGATGCCATTGGGGAATGGTGTAGGGTCAAACTGCCATCTCATTTTCCCGACCACCTTAGGTAAATCGAAGAAGCCCCAGCGACGACTACTTCAAACTTTTCTACCACACTACCGAACAGATCCACAAGATTGGAACAAACTTTTTCAATCATTTTTCATCTTCTCAATGACATATCGCTTCTAGAGTGTGTTAAAAATGAGATATTGCTTTGCTATTGAAAATATTTGTAGCCTAGGTCATTGGTATGCACGCTGAGCTGGGCAATTTGACTACAAATGTTTTATCATCAATCGAGGTGGCATCACCAGTGCGTTGTTATGAAACGCGGAGGAGCGTAACGATGGGTGGTCATGAAGATTGGGATTCTGTTGGTCGAGAAAACTGGAAAAAAGAATTTGGTTGGGTTACCAGATTCTACTTAAATGCTTGTGGTTTACTCAAAGTACATTTAGAAGGACGCTTGTCAAATTTTCTAAAAAAAGTCATATTGAATTTCGGTAACCAAAGAATGCTCCGGTGAAAAAAATGTGTAAAGGCAGATCACTCAAAAGATTCGGGCCCTTAGTAAAGTCACAGGAAAAGCCTTTATTGCTGCACTGATTTACCGAAGCCCGTTCATTCGAACAAAGTGCAAATGAAATCAGTTGTGGGAATGTTATATATGACTTCTGTCTCCGCTCCAGCGCATAGTACTGGGAAAGACTCGCCGACAAAAACACAACAGCTTTATTGCAACAAGCGAGTGATGCAAGTGCGAAAGTTACAACGACGTAGCGCTATTTAAAGGCGTTTGCTGAACACCCATCCGTGCTTCTGTGAAACACCGGAAGTCATCATAGTCGGTCGTGCTTCTGTGGCGTGCCTGAACACTCACCGACTTTTAATGAACTGATTGAGTGATTGACTGTCCCAGATGCCTGTCGGCTTCGCTATTGAGATTGTGGTGGAGTTTAGGGTCTCAGTGGGTCCCGGGCGTTCTGGGGTTATTTTCAGGAATCTGACCTTCCTGATAGGGGAGAAATTTTTCAATCGAGTTTTCGTACTCCATATCTCGGTCGCTACCCATTAATTTAAAACAAAAGTACCAACAGACTTCCAGCTGGGTTTTTGTATTTTGTCCGCCACCTCGTTATTAACAATTTAATGGTAAGTAGCCGGAACAGAATCGTCTTGTAAAGCTTTCAAAATTGCGGCAGTTAAAAAGGCGATGAGTAACAGATGTTAGTTTGAGCTTAGTGGTGGTAACTTTTGACGGTAAGAATGAACTTCTGATACATATTCATAAGGAAGAAGTAAACCAGAAAGTATGGGGACTACTAGTTCAGTCGGAGATCCTAGAGTCTACTTGTTGAACGGTAAAAGCCTGGGGAGAAGTTTTCTCATTGTAGTGCAGAATATGGCCAACTAATGGACATGACCAACTGGTCAGTGATTGGTCACCAATTGGGTCCAGTAACCTTTAAACTCAGAGTTACGGTAACATTTGGCTGACCATAAAGTACAGTACGTATACAACAATGTTTCCATCTGCGTTCAGAATTTGTTCCATTTCAA